GGGGGATTGGGCCGGTGAGGTAGTTTTTGCTCGCGTCTAGTAAAATGGCGTTTTCGAGAAGTCCGGCCTCCATTGGTAAGCAGCCGGAGAGATTGTTGCCGGAGAACAGGACCTCGATTAGATTCTTCTTCGTTTTTCCGATTCCGATGCTTTTTGGGATCGGACCGGTGAACTCGTTCCTCGTGAAAGTCAGGAACCTGTTATTTCAAGGACAAAAATGGAAATTGTTATTTATTTTAGAGTTGTTCGAGAAGGACAAGAATACCCAAATATAAGATAGTTCACGATGGTGTGATATTTTTTGCTTTAATCATAACTCTCATAAATTTACTATTGTTTTCATCGAAAAGTCTCATATTAATAGATATAATTGTGTTGATGTATGCATGTTATTCCATAATCGATATAAAATTTTGTTCGTGTTCACTTTACCTATCTAACCCTGAAATAGATTTGAGTGTAGGTATTTAATTTGCAAACATGAGTTTTGAGTAGTGTGAGATTGGATGGATTGGTAAGAAAATGTTTTGTACTGAAATATGATATTTCCAAAGTCTCCTTATAAAAAATAGACATTATCAAAATTTAAAATTTAAAGTAGATCTCCTATGTAAACAATATGAAATAAATATGTATTTTAGAATTTAAAATTATATAAAAATAATATAATCCAAATAATTTGTAATGTGAAAAAAAAGTACATTTATGCTATATTGAAAAAAGAAAAAGAAAAGTTATATATATATATATATATATATTTTATAATACATGTTAAATTGATGCTGTGGAGTGAGATTTATATCTTTTAAAAAAATTGGTTATATTACACTTTTATTTTTTGAATGTTAAATTGACGTAGTGTTTTTTAAAAGTAATGTTTTTGTGTATGTATCTTTTTATGCTCCATGCTGGTTAAAAAAATAGAAAAAAAAAGTACGGAAAAAAGACGTAGTTAAAAAGTTCCGGCTAAATACCGGGCAGGGGTGTTGCCGAGGTTGGCCGGAATCTGCTGGTTAAATTTGTTGTTATTGAGGAAGATGGCGGAGATAATGTCCATATCGAAGAGCCGTGGGGGGACCGGGCCGTAGAAATTGTTGAACCGGAGGTCCAAGAACGTCAGATTGGTGGCGCCGAGGACTTGGCTGGGAAACCCGCAGGCGAATTTGTTGTTGCTAAGATCGAGCTCGTAGAAGTATCTGAGATTGGCGATGAGTTTGGGGACTTCGCCGGAGAAGTTGTTGGAGTTGGCGTGGAAGAAAGCGATGTCCGGCAACCCGTCGATGAACGTATCGAGGATGAGTTTACGACCGCCTAAGTTTTTGTTGTTGAAGCTAACTCCGGCCACCGCCTTGTCCATGAAATCCGGAACTTTGTCGCAGAGGAATCCTTCGTAACCGCAAACATTCGGCCCTTTCCATGTTTTTGTGATATTAAATGGGTCCTCCTCGATTCTGAGTTTGAAGTTCTGGATCG